TGTTGTGGCGGGATGACCTCTGACAGGCAAGTAAGGGAGCCACACATCTGGCATGCACGCCCGTAGTTCAACTAAACATGCATTAAGTAGGCACGTAGGTAGGCACTTCGTACGGTAAAGGGACCTAAGTGTGAACCTGCAGCTTGCTTTCCCCAGCCCTGCAGGTGCATGGTGTGTGACTTGGCTCCCTTTGATCTTTCGGCGCAACGTCATTCCCTCACTCGGAGGTTCAACTTTACCAAAGGGAAGACGAAAGGGTGGGCAGGGGGTCCTCTCGAATGAGAATATGCCGCACCTTGTGTAGGTAGCACTGGTAGGCACGAGTGCAAGCGTCCTCTCAACTTTGCGAGTAATTCGTAGCCCGGCGCCCGGCGTGCCCATAGCCCCCCCATCTCTTCCCCCTAAAGGCCAGTTCCAGTGCCGTGTCCCAGTGGATTGTCTCAATTTCCAGCCAAAGTCAATTGAATTGGCTGCCCAATTAATCCACATTCCCAGGTGATTCCCACCACCATGCCATCCCAATGCCTGCCAATCTTGAGGAACACGAATCCGAGCCCGTCACGGCAGTGTGCGACTTTGCAGCTCGATTGGGCGTCGGTCGTCTTGTGTTTCGTTTGAATCACAAAGTCCCCTTTCCCAGTCTGCCAACCCACAGCCCTGCCAACCCTGCCGACCCGTTTCCATAGCCTTCCTGGTTTCCATCCCCGTCACCCATCCACCCCAAAAACAATCCACCCCTTAGCACCTTTCGCCCTGTTGCGGATGCTGCCGTTTGTTTCTTTTGGTTTTGGTTACCCGGATCCCTGGTCCCTCGTCATCTGAGTCACTGGCAACACGCCAGCAAGGCTTAGGATTTTCAGTTGCCTGATGCTAGGTCCCGATTTGGGATTCTGCCTGATGCCGACCCATCCTCACCAGGCTTCAGCAACCAAATAAGCCTGGATTGCTGATTCCTGCAATTGTGACTCTTCAGCATTGCTGTGCACCTGCTATAAAGCCACTTCCCATTCCTCCCACAATTCTGCCCTCTCAACTCTCATACAATCCAAAAGTCAGCAACTCCCAAATCTCACACAATCCCATCACAACACAACCATCCCCCAAGAAACCCCCTTAGCGACATTTTTGGAACTCGCCCCCACCTCCATCCACTGTCACCACTTTTAGCACCTTCGCCACAAGGTTTCCAATTCTCTGAGGGCCATCCTTCCAGACCTTCTTGGAATCATACCATCTCATCAAATCTGTGAACCTTGCACCCGCGATATAAATCTCAGAGCATCTCCTCGCTGAGACTCTGCGTCTTATACATCGCCCTTCCAGACACATTTACCCCACCACGACCAAGTAAAGAAACAAGTCTATCGCAGACACACTCCAATTCTCCAGTCGTCACTGTTGGTTGAAATGGCTCCTCAATACCACAGCTCATCTGGCTCCAGCAGCGCTGGTGAGAGAATCTACCACGACTCACGGAGAGAACAACGCGAGCGCAAAGAGCCTCGTAAACCTGTCAAGCGAGAGGTAGTCATCGTCCACCACCGCGACGCTGTCACTCGCGACCAGACCAGATCCTCGGACATGGCACATAACAGATGGAGGTGAAAGTCAAACAAGACAAAATCACTCCAATAAATGCACGCTACGCATGCCTGTACGAATCAATTATACTGCACACTGGGAATTTGATACCAAGCGGAAGGAGTCTGGGAAAAGGGAATACTTCGATTGGGCACGATTAGGAGTTTACTGGGTTCTTTTGGGGCGTTGATGCGTGATCAATACTCTTGAAGAGTATGCAGCAAGACTGTCACACAAGCATTTTCCTTTGTTACCGGTCAACGGTTGCCATTCAACGCATCTTTTGTACTACTCTCGAGGTCCTGGCTACTTTCCCAGGCCTCCTGTCTCTGATTGTGGATCAGATGGGCAAATGTCACCAATATCTCACATAGAAATCCATGGACGCGAGTCTTGGGTGTATGCGGCGAGGTGGAAGAAGCAGTCTTCATTGTTATGGGAACGTTTCCACCTTCATAGGGTCTATCTGACTTTATCGATTGCCGTATCATAATCATCAGCCTATCGATAACAGTGGTGATAATCAATCTCGTTCAAATCCTCCAGTTCACTATTCGTCCTCGTACAGTCCTTATGTGTTTCTATTCTTGCCTTTATTGCAGGACGATGTTTCCCCCTTTGCCCAGCGCAGAACAAGAGAGTTTTTCCTTCCCGTCTTCCCTCATGTCTCCTTTCAATGTCGATCCCGCAGCCTAAAAGCATTCGGTCGGAGAGCATAAGATCGTCCTGCAGAGCAGCCAATCGTGACGGGTGAGGCGGCGGCTTAGCTGCTTTTGCTTCTAGCTGCGGCGGGAACAGTGGACACGGGGCTCCTTCTCGAGTCAGAGGTCGAAGCTGGCGGATGGAAACCGAGCAGCTGGAGCGTACCGGATGGGTTCCAATTTGATGGTTACACCCGTCAATGCGGGCCACTGGGCTTCTGGGCCAAACTCCTGCAATTTTGGTTTTAGGGCCCGCGGCACTTGCTCCACAAAGTGTGGCAGCTTGAACGTGAAGGGCAATGGGATGGGAGGGAAGGTTTGGACGGGAGAGAGAACTTGCATGATCCCGCATGATGACCCGAGCCACAAGGCAGTTCTCGACAGTTCTATCCTTTCTTTGCTTTGCTCCGAACCCGCCGCTCATTGTCCGGACCAAAAGGGTTTCTTCAACTTGGCGGAACTTTTGTATCGGCTTCGCACCATTCGGGGTTCCGTCTCTCAAGTATCGGACGTGCTGCGAACACATGAGTACAGACAACTTTTATGTAAGATGGAATGCCACCCTCTTGTGCCATTGCATCTATCAATCTGCGCCTTGCCAATGCTCTGACTTCTCGGTCAACTTTGAATACCTCTAATCAGGCGCATTGTCAATGGCGCGCGGTAGTCCAAAGGGCCGTGCATTTGGTCCCTCTTTCGGTTCCATCAGCCAAGTTCCTCCAATCCGTACCGTCCAACTGGCACCAGCTACTACTGCATGCCACGACGATGACCTGCCGCAGCTCTTTGCTGCCATCTGCGAATGAGACCGGTCGTAGATCACCTGCAGCTGTCGCTGTGCTGTCGCCTCCGAAGTACCATGCGTCCTAAAGCTCTCCGACTCGTTGGCCGCCAAAGGTCCCGTAGCCTCTCAATCCTCACTCCCGTCAATTCGTTGCCCCTTGCAGCGGTGGTTGCTGTTACTACCCATTTTGATGAAAGGGAGATCCAATGTCCAGCATGTCGGCTACTCGCGGATAAGTGCCAGATTCACCAGTTGTGATTCAGCTGCATAGCATCGTGGAGAATCATGGGCTACGGCCGACGCCGAAGTTCTGGTCCACGTGTCCGAGTCCCTGCGATGTACTTTCTCCTCCCACTGAGCCTCCTTCAATTGCACCGGACACCTTTCTATTGAGTGCTTCTACTTTGTGTGCCATGTCCACATGCCCAGATATCTACGTTTGGATGGTTCGATTGTTCTTGTCATCTCGATCCTGCGCGTGGTAACAGGAGGTATCTATGCCAACCCCAGTGTCTCGACACGTACTGGGAAGTCTTCCCATGTAAATCAATTCCTGACTTACGCAACCAATCATGGCCTGGTTGTCGTTTTTGGGTGATTCCTGCAGGTACAATATTTTTCAAATGACAGCGTCCCTACTGCTTTTCCTATTGAGATGTCTGTGGCTGAGCGGACAGACTGTTGGCGACACAGCCTCCTTCCGTGTCCTTCGGCTAGCTGCGTATCGAGCTCCCCGAACAGTAGATGCCTGGTTCTGCAACGAATCCCCCATACCGTCCCACGACAAGAAATCCCATTCCTTTGCAGACGGAGTAGGGCCCTCTGGATGGACACGTCAAGAGCAAAGACTGGGTAGCATTCCAAGCGTGCTGGCAAGACAATTCCACACAGCCCAGCCCAGGTCAAAGCACATGCATCCAGTGTGATTATCGACACATGGCCAGGCTACCCGGTCTGGGGGCGTGCTGGCTAAGATTGGAGAGGTGTGAGCACGCATGGGGACCTCCTATAGTGTGCTCGATGCTCGGACAGAGATGTCGGTCTCAATCGACCAAGCCAGCTCGAGGCATTGGAGGAGAATGCCTCCCTTGTCTCATGCTCGATATACACGAAAACACGCCCGGACCCCGCGTGCTTCTGGGATTTATTATCATCATGGTTACCCGGCGCTAAAGGCCGGTCTTCATGTGTATGTACTCCTTCTGTATTTGTACTCGGGATCTTGGCACCAGAAGCTTTGACCGGTGTGTGACTGGTTTAACATGGGGCGTGCATGGCTTCAAGTAGATACTTTCGGTCCCAGATGAGGCGAGTTCGGCGCTTTGCTGATCTTGCTGCAGGGAGATGGATTCCATCCCCTGGGATGCGGCTGGAAGCGCTTCGTGGGAAGCTTAGCAGGCACCATGACCACCATGAGGGGGAGAGGACGCCTTGCTTTTTGCAGGTGTTGAGAGTCTGGAGTGCTGATCCCCCCCTTTTATGTATCTTATTATCTTATTATCCTTTCAAAGACACTCAACCCATTGTCAACCAGCTTGATTGCGTGACATCTAGGTTTTGTTCGTTCAGGAACATCCTTCTTGCAGGGACCACATAGAACAAAATACTCGCACGCTTATGCAGTTTCATACTCCTTTCAACCTTTGGGAGGCTTGCCTGCCAAGTCTGCAAGACAAAACCCCCTGTGCTCTCTCACGGGCTCACCGCATTTGTAGTTGGATTCAAAACAAATAAATTGTGCCTGGTGTACTCGCTTCACATCCTTCTCATCTTTCTTTCCAATCCAAAAGTTCTCCCTTGTGCTGGTGCTTACATTTAATTACAAAGACGCTCCGACTTCTATAGATATTACGGTATGGCGTTGGCACACGCAGCATTCCAACCCTCTCAACTGTCGATCCGGCTAATTTGAGATACAGAGAAACACGTCAAACATGGCTCCAGTTGCTGCCGTCCTCTGCGGTAAACATGCGCAATTGACTGAATACATGCTCAAGAATCTTCTTCCCAAGATCGAGGGTGAGTTCTCTGTCCCAGACGGCGCTTCCTACGAGAGGGATCTCTATCAATTGGAGATTGCTTCAATCGAAGTGGCTCATTGTTAACTGTACCCCCGTCGTATTAGTCGTCCATGTCTGCAACAGCACCGATACTGCAGTCTCTGAGATCCCGGGCCTCCTGAAAGGCAGCGTCAGCCCTCCCTCGTCAGGTCTGGGCTCGAACGCGGAGGGGGCTGGCCGGTCCGACATTTCACTCATCATCATCGGCGGAGGTTTCTCGCCAGAAGACTTCCAAGCCATCAAGTCAGCCGCCGACAGCGTGAAGCCCCTGCCATTGTTCTGTGCCGACACCAGCAAGGTCCCTGCCGGTGCGGGCCCCCCACCTCCGGAACTGATCAAGAAACGGATGTTGGATGCTATCGAGAAGGAGGAGAAAGGCGAAGGAGAGTGGGCCCCTGGCTTGTACATGTATTGATCGGCAACCCAGGCGAGAGAGAGAGAGAGGAGCGTGTTCCCCAGAGGCTGAAAGGACTTATTGGAGCTTTGTTCTCGCATCTCAAAAGATAGTGAGAGAGGGGGGGGGGGAATGTGTCCGAGTGCCGCTGACATGACCGGGACTCGGTCGGCTCTTTTGCTCTTTTGAGGCTGTTAAACATAGGCACAACAAGCTCCATATGACCATGTACTTTCATGCACCTACCAAACTTGATATGCAGGCTGTCAGTCCCGCAAGCAGTGCCCCAGTGTATATATCTTGCTCGTCAACTTTTGTAACCGTTTTACTGGCGATTTTCATGTGGAAGGGAAGTCTATTTCGGAACAGCCAAATCTCTGGTACAAAGCGACTTATCAGAGCACGTCCCACTCCCGCTCGCGGGGTCACGGCGCAGATTGACGCATCGGGAGGAGAATCTCCCCCACATTCAAAAACTTTCCCATCTCAGCAAAGCCGATCGAGCTCACTTTCTCTCCGCAGGATCTTCTGGATCGGCAGCATATCAAATCGTGCCCGTGGCGACGAGACTTTGGCGGCCGGCACCTTAACACTCAACGCTTGCAGCTCAGCGAGGCGGTTTTGTAGGCGATAGATCTCAAGCATTTGTTCGTAGATTTTCAACGCGCGGGGGTTGCCTGGCGCTAGGATCTCTTTGAAACGTTTGTCTTTCATCATGTCGAACAGCTCGAGGCATCCTGCTTCTGCCTCGGCCAAGTTACGCCTCCGGATTTGCACATGTACGAGTCCAGAGCGCACGTTGACCGAGTCCGGGTGGTCCAAGGGGATCACCTTCAGCAAGCTTTTCAGTAGGGATTCAGCCTCTTTCCAGCGCTCGCAGAGCACGTAAGCCCGGGCCAGGTTGGATCGCGTCATGATCATGCCGACATGGGTATCGCCCAGAGTGCGACTGACAACCTCAAGAATGGCCTCCAGCAGTCCTGCTGCTTCCGCACCGCGCTGTCTCTCGCAGAACACCTTGGAGAGATCATTCACCGACCACAGCGTGTATGCGTGCTCCTCTCCAAGGATGCACCTTCGGGTAGTGAGAACGTTGGTAACCAACCTTTCCGCAATTGCGAGTTGCCGGTGGCGTGATTGCTCGTCTTGAGCCGTCCTTGCGCAGAGGCTCATCCCCAGTTCGTTGCGCGTCATGAGCGTGTCAGGATGGTCCATGCCAAACAACCTTTTTCGCTTGACAAGGACCTTGACAAGGAGCCTCTGACTCAGTTGTTGGTCTCCAAGATGCAGATAAGTCCGGGCAAGGTTAAATAGCGCTTTCAAGGTCTGAGGATCTTCAGTGCCTAGCCGTTTTGTGAGGCCGCGCACCGCGCGCTCGCCAACATATTTTGACCACTCTCGCTGTCCAGCAAGCCACAAAGTTTCCGTCAGGTCGTTCAAGGCAAGGCAGTATTCGAGATGGTCAGGCTTCCAGGGTGGCCATGATATCCAATAAATCAAGGATGGCCTGAGCAGCCATCTCGACGTCAATATCTCTCTCTGTATCAGGATTGCATCCTTGATCTCGAACAAGTTCCACTTGGTTTCAGCAAGGCTCTTTTGCACACGAAAAGTGTCTTCGTCCCATCGACCCAGTTTTTTCCTCCTGAAAGCGAAAATGCTTTCCTGCCAATTTCTGGCCTGCTTCCATCTCCCGTTTTCGACGTACACAGAAGCGAACCTTTCGATTTCAGTAGCTCTCGAAATCGTGTCGGGGAGTAAGCCCAATCTGTTTTTGAGCTCACGCAGACAGGCATCGATATGAGGAAGAAGAGCCTGGCGGAACCGACGTCCTGAGGCCTCAAGGTGCCGAGGAATGCAAAATGCTAGGACCGTGATGGTGTGATTCAACCACTCTAGTTGCGCTGAACGGGGCAGTCTTTCTTGAGCCCAACGATGGACAACAGGGTGAACGGAGCATATTTCCTTGTCTGGATCGTGGTCGATGAGCGAATGATCGTACAAGACTCGCACGCCACGGCGAAATCTGACTCGAGCCTCTTCATCACCCGGTACGTTCGCACGTAGGAACTGAGGACAACCGTTGGACGTTGTGATAGCACTCGACAGATTGTGCCATGAACGCCGAAAGATCTGCTCTGGGATAGACTCAAAATGCAGAAAGGTAAATAGGTGCATCAAGTCCACAGCGTCTTTGTGCTCGATAGAGTTTCTTTTGGCAATTCTCTGAAACGGGATTTCCCATGTAGTTATCGTGTCGGAATATGAAGCACTGTGCACGTTCTGAGCACTCAAGAGCACCCAACGATGGTTAAGGTAATAATAGAGATAGGTCTCGAAAGTATATATGTTCCTTCGAATAGTGGCGCCAGCATGGATCAGAGCTATGGCCAGATAGCCAAGTCGTTTTGCGATAGCATCCGCCAAACACCTATTCGTAGGATCTTGACTTCGGACATCAGGCGCCGGATACGCAGATTGCAGCAATAGCACCGTTGCTTCCTCTGGATCCATCCTGCCCAACTTGATGCAGCCCTCGGTGGAGTAAATATTGGCTCCCGGGTTCCGCGTGGTGATCATGATGTGTCCATTTCCGCCTGCGGGAAAGTAGTGCCATAGCTCTACGTCCGGATCGTCGGCGTTGTCCAAGATGAGCAGCCAAGGCCGCAAGCAGGTCGACAACCAGTGAATGGCACTGGATGATGATAGCCCTTTTCCTGCAGTCATGCCGAGAGAGGAAAACCCATTCTCCAAAGTCTCGGGACTTGTGGCATCCACCCAGAAGGTTCCCCAGTATTGACTCCGAGTCTCCTCAGCAAATCTGAGGGCAAATTGAGTCTTTCCAGAACCACCAAGACCGCAGACGACCAAAATCTTCGGTTTACGCCACGTTGAAGCGCCTTCGACAGGGCTTAAGCGTTGCCTTGCCTCCTTTGACTGCCCCCTCCTGCCAACAAAGTGGCTGCTAGATGAATGGGGAACATGATACTGTCGATGCTTGGTGGAGCCGCAAGCTCTTAACGTTGGGGAGGGTTCATCTCTCGAATCGTCAAACTCTTTTGAGGCCTGCTTCTCACTTTCAGCCCGCCGCTGCTTGTGCTCGCTGTGCCACCTGCTATGGATACATGATGGGGCCTCTGACCGACATTGCATGAGAGTTGAAAGTGTGGTTCTACAGCCTGGGCTGTTCCAGCCTATGAATTTGACCATGCGCGAATGAGTAGCAGAAATCCCACATCGATAGGCATCATCCCAGCCAGGAGCAGCTGAATTTTCGCTGACAATAAAGGTTTCTTTGTCACCCACGACGGATGGGTTCTGTTCGTAAAAATGGTAGATCCTAAATCTTTTTCTCAGTGGTGCGAACTGATCAGCAAGATCGGCCAAGAAGGAGGAGTCTTTTCGGAGGCTATTCAAGAAGAATAGGTTTGATCTCGGAGAGGTGCGTTGCAAGTATAGTAAGAACGATTCGTCGAGCCCCTGGTGAGGAGTGCCAAAGAACAAAATGGCATGAGTTGAAAGGTAAGTCGATCTCAAATGCTCTGTCTCCCTGGACGAAATGTTCGCGGAATGAATCAACGCCCGTCTGACTAACAGTCCACCGAAGCCGTGGCATACGAATATGATGGGTCGTTCTGTCCCTTTGTCGTACCATCGATCGGCATAGAGCTCTGCGATGAGGTTTGTTGCGCATGACAAGAATTTCAAAGATCCGGGTTCCTCTGGTGAAATCAACTTCTGCGAGGGATAACTGTAGGCTAAGACTCTAGTGTTTTGCACGCTATATGGCAACATGTCTCGAAGCCATAGCTGTCTGTTGGCTTGCTCGGTCCAGGTATCATATGCTGATTCGTAGAGGCCGTGGACCGCAACAACGCTGCACCACAGGGTGAGTGTTTGGACGAATCATCGCGTCTCATTGTGCGAGAAGTCGGCTGGAAACGACTCACTCTACTTCTGCGCTGGATTCGCCAGGCTCGTCGCCCTCGATTCTTGGATGATGGAGGGTCAGGATGCTCATTTTCCTTTCTGAAACCGCATATCATGCAGCGAAGCTGGTCTGGCTTGCGAGCTAGTGAGAGCCATACTCAATTACTGAGACTGCTGCATTCTCGCCAGCAAGTACCATGCACCATGTCTGCTGAGAGGAGTGCATCCGTCATCATAGGGAGGCAGGAGAATAGACCAGGCTGGCATGTCAGATTCCGGTTAACTGGCTACCCTGAAGGATCTTAAATCTCTGTCGTGCTCGTCTGCATCGTATCCACTGTTGGACGAGCACCCAATTTCCTCAGTACCTCTGCAAGACATTTCGAACGATTTCGACCTTCCAAGCTCGATCTCCTGGAGTTTTTGGTTTTCTCATGAACGCTGGCGAAACGTAAACAAAGGCGTGCCATGCTCTCATGCAGACAGAAGCTCCACATATTGATTGTAATTCGAGCTGGTCCGAGTTCGATTGTAACCACGCTAGGAGCTGGGTGGCGTCATCAGAAAACTGTACACACGAGCCCCTAAGACGAGCACTAGTAACCGTCCAACATTCTGGGGCAAAGGATGTGCCCAGTCTGCCAGTCCCGTTACTTGTTGTGGGCGCCTAAGCGTGGAAGACGTCTGAATACCTCCTCTCTGCCATCTGGAGAAACGAACTCCGAACTACAAGTAGCCACGATGGGCACCGAGGTGCCAAGGCCCCCACTTTTGCCTAGCCAATAAATAAACAAGTAAATATACGGCGCCGAGACTGGCCAGAGAGAACTAGATGGGGGATCGAAAAATGGACGTGATGACCATCCCTTGCCATGTTACACAAACACCCTTCCCCCTTCTCTCGTGTCACCTGTCTCATACCATGTCTCTAGCTCACGGAGCGCCTGTGACCATGATTGCGTCTACCGTGGCCCATTGCTCACACGTAGTTTTTGGGTCTTTATACTTCTCTCTCCCGCATTATATCTCTCTCGAGCATCAACCAACCCTACGACTATCTAGGACCGTGCGGGACACTAACTCAGCATGGATTTTCACCTCTCTTGGATAACAGTCATCGCATTTGTTCTTGCTTTTTATGTGCTTCGCTACCAAAAAAAAGAGGCACGTTCCTGCCAGGTCCCCACGAGCCATGGTTTGGCTGACTAGGCCACAGGAGTATAGTGCTATTGCTGGCCTCCATGGCTGTTTGCCGCCTCCTAGGCTTCGAAATCAGAGACCCCTGGGTCTTGACCGCCTTGAGCAGATCTTCAGAGCCAATGCCGAATCAAGACTTATGGAGCTGTTTCTTTTCCACTTTCGCCAAACGGGAAATACCCTTGAACAGGTATTCTTAGGGACAAAGGCATTTGGGACCATCGACCCTGCAAACCTCGAAGTTATACTAAGTTCGAAAATCAAAGGTGAGCCTGCTTCCACATCCGCCCACACAACGGAAGTTGACCCTTGGCCAGATTTCAGCATGGGCTTGAGGAGAGAGATAACGTTTCCAATGTTTGGGGACGGAATTTTCACTCAAGAAGGCGCTGCATGGAAACAGTCAAGAGACTTGCTCAGACCACAATTTGCTCATAAGCAGTATGAAAACTTGGACGTTTTCCGGGATTCTGTCGATGACCTCCTCAATGCCATCCCAAGTTGCGGTGGTGTCATCGACCTACAGCCGCTTTTCTTTCGCCTCACCCTCGACACCACGACCTCCTATCTTTTTGGTGAATCTGTACGAAGCCTCCGAACCCCCGAATCAGTCGGCGAGAAGTCCTTTGCCGTTGCATTCAACACTGCTCAAGCATATGTCGCCAAACGCTTCCGACTACTCGACTTGTACTGGTTGATTGGCGGCAAGCCATTCCGTGAAGCCTGCAGAAACGTGCACAAGTTTGCAGACCAGATTATCGACCGGAATTTATTGCAAAACGGGAAAAGCATGAGAGCAGATGAAGCCGAGTTTGTTTTCCTTGATACAGTCGCAAAGGATGTACCAGACCGATGCGCGCTTCGAGGTCAGATTATAAACCTATTAGTTGCAGGCCGTGATACAACCGCTTGTCTTCTGTCATGGACGCTGTATGGGTATAACACTATCGCCTGTGTTGACTCGCCTCTGAAGAATGCTGATATTGATGTACAGTTTTAGTTTGGTCAGACACCCCAAGGTGCTCGAGAAGCTACGATCAGAGATCAGTCATGCCTGCGACCGCGAGGCGGAATTGAACCGAAACAGTCTTCGGAGTATGTCCTATCTTCAGAATGTCATCAAAGAAAGTCTGTTGTCCCACGCTTGCGTAGCTCGTATGCCAAACTTGGCCCGGCACTAACTCATTCGACAGCTCTTCGATTGTATCCATCAGTGCCTGTGAATGTCAGGACAGCCACGAGGACGACCATTCTGCCTACAGGAGGCGGGCCGGACCGGAAATCTCCCGTGCTGATACCCAAAGGTGCTTCTGTTGCGTATAGTGTCTACGCCATGCATCGAAGACCCGACCTCTACGGAATGGACGCCGAGCTCTTCCGGCCCGAAAGATGGGATGAAGACATGCCCTTGAACCAGGATCTCACGAATGCCAAATGGGGCTATCTTCCGTTCAATGGTGGGCCACGGATGTGTCTGGGCAGTATGATCTCTCTGCCACCCAGATATTTGAGGAGTAACAACATGCTAACTGACAGGATAACGCTCAGTGGACTTTGCCGTGACTGAAGCTGCCTACACTATTGTACGATTGATTCAGCGGTTCCCCACCATCAGACTTCCTCCGGGTGAAGTGGTCGAGCAGACCGGAGTGGAAAGGCAGACCATGACCCTCGTCATGTCCATTACCGAAGGTTGCAAGGTTGAATTGGAGTGCTAGTGAATATACAAAACGCCTTGAGCATGGACGAAATTTCTCATTTTGCAACGCATGTCAAGGTTGTATTTTATCTCTCAACAGCTCTGCGGCTTCGTTTGCACGCATGGTCCTCAATTTGATGTCGGCCTCATCCCATCTTCTTGCAATAATCGTCTCAGCCTCCTCATAATACCGTACCAGTGTAGCGACAATGACCTTGTATCCCGGCGAATCTCGGCCCGCGAATCGGCACATATTTCTATGATCACATGGGAGGCCGCAACGCACCGTGCCATCGAGAAACGGAGCTGCCGAAGACTCGCGGACAATCTGCATCCTGTCAGCATCAACATTTCGGTTTGGTCGTGAACTACGTTGGCTCCTGTTGTAAGTAGTCACATACATAGTCGTATCTGCCTCCGAGATTTGTCTTCTCTTGTTCCCAGAAGAAGTAGATGTGAAACCTCTTCATGATGGGGACAAACATGTCGGTGATGTTCCTCAAAGTTTCCGAGTCTGGTTTGAGCGCGTTAAGGAGCTGGCCATCGGTATCGCACAGCTTTGAAGGGGCTAGTTTGTCCAGAAGGACTCGGATGTAGGATGCAAGCACGGCTTTGTCGCTGCCCTCGTGCGGTGTCCCAAGGAATAGTAGGCCAAAGGTGGAGACGTAGATTGAATGAAGGCCCACGATCGACCCAGATATTCGACTATGAGAGAGGATAATTGCCTGGTCAAGAAGAGCATTAGGGTTTCAATAGAGGAGTGAGAGGAATACTCGCTGGAGTGGCGGTGTCATCCTTACCCTCTTGACGATGATACCCCCTAGCGAATGACAGACGAAGATAATGGGCCTGCGAGTAGCACCATCCATCCATCTGGAGGAAAATCGGTCAACCAACATCCTCAATCGGTAAGATCAGAGCAGAAGACGCCCACTGACCTGCCGATCCGCAACCAGTTCTGCCACCAAGGTGTGCGCATGCTGGAGAATTGTGTCTGACGACGTTTTGCCGAGGATTGCTGTAATGGCGGTATTGTAACCGTAGGTCAAGATCCGTGCTTGCTTCAAATGGGCGGGCAGCAACTCTGGATCTCCCAGCCAGAATTTCCCTGACTCTCTGTGCGTCCATGTCTTAAAGGCGTGGCCCCTCAATCCATGTACGGCGACGACGCTGTGTGCGTTTATTAGCCATTTTAAATCTCTCATGTAGGTCCATGTAAGGTTGAGGGGATTTTGTGGTACTGCATACTCAACAATCGGGTTTTCGGCTCTGTAGACTTGGATCAAGCCCGTGGGTTCAGGCATGTTGAGGGGAGTGATGGGGAAGGTTGAGAGAAGCATGCTTGAGCAGTTGCGTGCCTTGGGAGAGAGAGGAGAGGAGAAGGAATGGTAAACAAACATAGATTCTGCCCTTGGCTGAAAGGGTTAATGGCTGAAAGGCAGAGAGGGAGCAAACAGACGCAATCCAAGTTGCTTTTCTCTTTGTATTGACCACAGAAGCCGCTTGGTCATTGCTTGTCTCGGGGCCTGCTTTGTGTGAATGGAACTAGGTTCGTACACATGATATAGAGAGAGAAACAGAGGTTTTTTTGTGGGAATTGTATGACCCAGAGCGAATTTCAGCTAGGGGAAGGGGAAAGATGAGGACATACGTTGTGAATGCTGCTGGCATCAGATCTGATGGGGCTTGTCCGGGTGTATTGGCTTGTACTCCCTAGTATTCAGCCTTCCCCAGTTTGACGAGGCACTACTGATTGTACCTGGTAAACTCCACTGGCAGCACGATCAAAAGGAAATTTCCTCTTTCATGCTTGTGATCCATCTCATGAGGCAAGAGTTTTCAGTCCACCAGAAAGGTTTCGTGTACATTATGCTGGGAACACTCGACGTTGTAAATTTATGAATGAGATCCTTCAGTGAAAGATGGACTGGAAGAATGGACTTTGAATCACGATTGATACTAAGCAGATTCGTGCGTGGGATACCAACAATAAACAACACAGGTTTCCACGATTGCAGTTGATCTGGTTGGATCCCCTGGCCAGGACAGGTCAGGACGCGATTTTCTCTCCTCTGTGTGCGTGTGCGTGCCGCTTAGCGGCCATGGGCACAAACACAACAAAGCCCTCCATTGCCAGACAATTCTCGACCTGGCCTGACCTGGCGAGGATGGCGGAAGAATGAGAGCAGATGTTTTGCTAGCAATTGCCCGCACAGCCGGCTGCTTTTCGGCTTGAGCAGATGGCATCAAGTGAGAGGCAGATGGACACAGAGAGAGCAGATGAAATGAACAGACAAGAATCACTTCCCACTGTGCTGTGCTGGACCAGCTTTTGAAATCCCTCACCTGGTCGCGTCTTCTTTCTTTCTTGCTGTCTCTTTTCCACCACCACCACCACCATCATCATCAACCCTTGTTCCATCAACATCTCCCTTCTTCCATTCTTGTGATCGATACAGTGGACAGTAACATTGTCAAAGCACTTGTCACTTTACCTGTAGACGCGGTCAGGTCGCCTTGCTCTTGTTCTGCAAGAACCTTGATCAGTGGTGAGTTCGAGATGGATTGCGTGCCGTTTGAGAGTTGAGGACTGACCGTGAAAACAAAAAAAGATCTGTCACCACCACATCGCACTTCGCCTCGTCAACGATCCGCCAGAGTCCAAAGATCCCCGTCGCATCGCAGAGAAGCGTTCAGACTTTGAGCTGCGCAACAAAAAAAACATGTCGTTGAATAACCGTTCTCGTCGCTCTCGGCGCTCTCGCTCTCACCTCTCTTCCTCTCATTCTTCCGCTTACTCTCAACGCCGCTCAGATCCATCTCCTCCACCCAGCTTCAGTCATCTCTCCGGCGGTCCTCCCAGCTTCCACACTCACTCTGATCCCTTCGAGTCTGACTTCGTCATGCCTGGTACCACCACAGTGATGGCTGGCGGCTGGAGCGACGCGAGGTCACCAACTCCGCCCGAGGGCGTCATCCGAGTCGAAACCAGCTTCACCGTCGAAGAAGTCTTCATCGAACCTGAACCCGCCAACAACAATTCCACCAGCGCCATCTTCGGTGACTCGAGCAGCCACTACCAAGCCACCGTCTGGTCCGCGGCGTCGCAGGTCGCTCGAAATCTCTTTGAGCCGCAAGTGAATAATGGACGAGGAGGAAACATCAACATCGACCGTACAACCACCAGCAAATGGGTTGCAACTGCTCTGCTGTTGGCCTCTGTCAATCTCCTCACCATGATCACCGAGAGCATGATGCCGGTCATGATTCCAAACATCATCTATGACCTCAACGTCCAAGGATTTCAGTGGCTCATCGCTGGTCCAGCCATCGGAGCGGCAGCCACGGCACTCATTGCAGGCCACCTCTATGTCGTCGTCCCGTTCAAGCACATTTACACCGTCTTCGCCTTCATTGTCTTGATCGCCACCATCTCACCTGGTTTTGCCCCGAACATGGCCTTCCTCTTCTACACCCGAATTCTCCTCGGCGTGGGTCTGGCAGGTCAACACTTTGGCATGCTGGTCTTTTTGGAACACAAGGGCAGTTTCGTAGACAAGATCCGACGCGATTTCTTCCTCACCCTCAGCTCCACACTCGGTCTGATCGTCGGTCCCATCTTCGGCTCCATCTTTGCTCATCGCAACAAGAACTGGTCCTGGGGTTTCTACACCGCCTTCCTGCTTCTCGCCCTGGCCTTGGTCTTCCTCTTCTACCTACTTCCCACGGAGGTTGAAATTGCGGCAAACGCGCCCTGGGCTTGTGGTCCGGTCTTCAACTGGAGCCATCGCATCAACTGCATCGACACCCTCGGCGGCCTGCTCTGCTTCTTCGGCATCATCACACTGTTGGTCACATTCAACTTCGCTGGCATCTTGATTCCATGGACAAGCGGATACCTTTACATCTCTCTAGCCATTGGCGTCGTCCTGGTCGTGCTGCTTATCCTTCAGCAAGCATACCGAATTCTCAACTCACCATCCACTCGTCTGTTCCCTGTCGAGTACTTGTCGAACTTCAAAACCATGGCTCTGTTCGTCCTCATTTTCCTCACTGCTGCCATTTTCCAGACCGGCTTCTCTTACACCACGCTCTATCAACTGCTCACGCGTCCTCAGCCCTCAGCAGTCAAGACGGCATTTTACCTCTTCTTCACCATGACGGGCCCATACTTGATCCCAGTCTTGATGATGCCAGTGTATCTCGGCGGCGGCTTGATCATGCGTTACCCAATGATCCCAAGCTACAGCTTCTGGAGCCTCATCTCATCGATCTTTCTTCTCCTCGGCACCGCCCTGCTCTTCATCAACATGCCATCTGTTTTGCCCAGCTCAGAGGGCCTGCCGACAATCGCCAAAGAGCTCGGTCTTGCTTGCATCGGTTCCTGGTCTACAATCACCTTGTCAATGGGCCACCAGCTCATGGACTTGCTCCAGTCGCCACTGGCGCGCGGCAGCCAGGATGCCCGCCAGAAACACCCGCTGCACAACCGTGCGTTCGTCTTGTTCGCGACGTACCTCGGCGCGGCCGTCTCTCTGACAATCACCGGCAACATTTTCATGCACGTCGGGCTCCAGGCCCAGTTGGCGTTGCTGGAACAAGCCAACGACGCCGGCTACCCGGCCAACGTCGACAATGCGCTGGTGCTCCTCCTGGGCTACACCTTTATCGACAGCAAGGTGGCACCGGCTCTCTTCGGGGCGTCGGTCGCCGCCTTGGAGAACGCGTTCGGCTGGTCTTTTGTCGGGGTTGTCGGTTTCGCCGTCACCGCCTGCGCGGTCAGCAGCTGTCTCTTGGTCGCGAAGGCGGCCAACGGCGAGCTGACCTGCCACATGCGTGCCCGCCGCGCCCAGATCCCTGAGGACTGGCGCGCTGGCGTGGGCATGCGTGGTGGCCAGCGCGACATCGAGCTGGAGGACCGCGTGAGCGGCACCACGCTTTGATGGGTGGTGACGGTGGCGGTTGTCCGGTGTCTTGTGGTGGTGGGTGGTGGTGGGTGTTCTCGGTGGGGCGGTCGACCGCGAGAGGTCGTCGCCGTGGTCAAATGTGCGCAAAGGGCACGTAGAATTGAGAAAAGAGACGGCGACCAGCGCCAACTGCTGGGGAAAAAAGCAGTGAGCATAGCGAGCGCGCAAAGCGCAAAATGAATGACAAAAAGAATTGGAAATGCATGTTTTATGTCTCGTTTCTCGCTGTAGGAGTGAAGTAGCGTGTATTCATGGTCGGATTTTGTTTCCGAACGTGTGTTCATCGTGAAGAAGCCAGGCCCAATATCTCGACGACGGAGTGATTCAACGACCACAAAAATCAAAGCTGAGTTGGGAACAAGAGAGGAGAGGCAAAACAAGTGTGCTCTCTAATCTCTATGGTCGTTCTTTTGCTGGGGTATCCTTAATCTCTTTTTCCCTCTCCCATGTCCGGTAGCGAAGGGCTTTCTATCGACCCCGTTATCTGTCAATCAATGTCATCCTCGTCCGATGGTATGCTTTCGCTGTCTCTATCGCGCTCTTCTTGGCCGTGCGCTTCGTCTTGATTGTCCGATCCATACTCTCTAGCCGCTTCCCGCAACTCGTCGCCAAACAATAACGTAAACACGACCACGCCGTACACTTCCCCGCTCCTCTTGTTTTTCAGAGTATATCGCAGCTCATGCGTCTTGGAGTCTACGTATTGGATCACATTCAGTGTGAAGCCGGGCAGCTTGAGAGAGAAGTCGTTAAAGTCCAAGTACGGATTGCCAAAATCGGCCTGGTAGAGACGGCCGCGCTCGAAGGTGAAAGAGGAGAGATTCGTGCGATTGAGGAAGTGTTTCTGCCGGCCAGGAGGGTCGGCGGGGATGTTGGCCTCGGAGCGCAGGGCGAGACCTGTGCCTTCGCCGCCTTCTTCGACGATGACGTCGTGGAAGTTCTCAGTATGTTCCTCTGGGATCTTCCATGCGTGGCTTTCATCCTCGTCGACCGCGTCCTCACCGTCCTGGTCTTCGACATCTGACGATGGGGACGAAGATGGCAGCTGGTCTTTCGGTATGACTTCGTCACCGATCCTCAAGATATTCCAACTACTCAGCGCCGGACCATACAAGAATGGTTTATCCGCGTAGACATCCCCATCTAAACCTGGATCGATCCACCATTTCACGATTCTAAATGCCTGGTTGAATCCGGGCGGTAATCTATCTCGTATAGGCCGGTCGAAATCATTCCCAAACACCAGCTCTTCACCCGGAATGTCCCGCTTGGGGACGAAACTCAAGGATATGCTGTATTGGTCATATTTATGGAGGTCGGAGGTGAAGTATTTCTCGGCGGTGACGGGGGATGAGGGCGGAAACCCTGTGAAATGGCGAATGCGGACACACACAGAGAAGATTATGGAACGGGTCTCGAACGTGAGGGTTTCGGGGCTGTTGACGGGGACGGTTTTGTGGGTGGCGGAATCGTACGAAGGCCCGGCGGTGACGCGCAGGCGATATTGGGAGTGGTGAGAGGTTTGCGACTGATCGGGGGAGGATGATTCTCCCATAACAGGCAATAGTTACTTCACTTTATGGGGCGCGTGGTTGTTTGGAAATATCTATCAAGTGTTCGCTCCAAGTCGTTTAGGTGATTCAGTGTTTTGCAGCTTGACGCAGCTTGCGGGGAAATTTCTCGTTGAATTTGGTCGTCAATGTCATTTCCGTCTACGGCATGTGCCAAGATCGCTCCCCTGACTGCCTTGCATGCGTGATCAGGTCTTACGTCAGGCTGCAGCGTTCTCGGTCGACCTTCCCTACAATTACCTACATATATACCAGCTCCTACGATGAATCCACGGTATGAACCAGAAACAATCCGTTTTCAGATACGAAATGACGAGGCAATTTCCCTAAGTGCTCAGATGATGGACTCGATGTGCCCCTCATAGGGGTATTGGCACCGTGTACATTCCACAAGCGGGTTCCGCCTTCAACAATTCGGGCTTGGTGTATTTTCCGGTCCTGAGCCGTGGGCAAGATATGCTCCCATGTTATGCACCTGATGAAAAGGGTGACAAGGTGAAGTCAAACATGCCTTGAACAGCTACAGTACTATAGCTTGCGCTTCTCGCTACAAAGACTTGCAACGCCGCTGTCCTCTCCATGAAATATTCCACTAGAAGCTCTCGGTCGGAATAAATGGAGCAGAACCAGACCCATATTATCGCCTGATCCAGTTAAGACTGGTCGATATGAGGTACGATCACCAATCATCTTTCTATACGACTCCACCCAAACTTATTCAATCTGTATTCGTCCCTCTACATTCCGCATTTAGCCAGACACCTCACAACGCCACACCTGCGGAATAATATGCTGGCGTCTCCAATGAAACTGTGAGATAAAAGAGTGAGGTTGTTTCCGCCGAGAATGGAAACGGGGTCCAACCGTCACCATTGCGGAAGCTGGCGGCCGAGAGCATCTGGGCTTTTTGAACTTCAGTATTTGGGTGTTGGCACTGCTCGGCGCTCAAGGCTCCGCGACAGTGGTAACGGAAAAGTTTGGATTGGTCTCAACCTCGGCGCTGCATTCCGGACCCTTATCTCCGCAAGTCAGGTGTAGAGGCGGGGACCAAAGCCTGGGGTAAGGAGCTTGGTGTCGGTCCTCTACATATAGACGGACTGGGCGTTAGTCACTCGAAGGCTTGACACATTCTTTCGCTACCAACTACACAATGGACGAAGACAAAATCGCACGCCCTGTCGAGATCAACTCGGTGGGCGAACAACATATTGCCATCCAGACCGAAACCTTTGCCATTGACGAAGGAGCCTTGGGCAACAACCTGCCCAAGCACTACTATCGCAGCGTCGGCTTCATTGGCACTGTTATCGTGAGTGTTGGCCTTTGTTGGTGTCGCCATTTCAGCGGTAGATTCAGTTACTAACGCGACGTGTGCGGATAGGCTCTCGCCTTGGGAAGTATCAGCAACCTTCTGGGTTGGTCGCTGCCCTCAAACTCGTTGGCCATCATCAACGCGGATATCGGCCCTTCCAAGAACATTACTTGGGTCGCTTTGGCATACACCCTGGGCCTGTCCGTGGGCTTTCTCATCATCGGGCGGTTGTCTGATATCTTTGGCCGGAGATGGTTCTTCATTGGTGGCAACGCCTTTTCCCTGGTCGGCTCCATCATAGGAGCGACCGCCACCCGCGTCGACAGTCTGATCGGTGCCAACATTCTCAACGGACTTGGAGGAGCCGTGCAGATATCCTTCACCGTCGCCATTTCCGAACTGGTCCCGAACAAGCACCGTCCGCTCTGGATCTCGGGCATCTTCTTGTCTCCCATCGAGTTTGCGGGGTTTGGGCCCGTCATTGCCCAGACGTTGGCGGAAAAAACGGCAGCCGGTTGGCGCTGGTCGTACTATCTCAACATCATCGTGACGGGACTGGCTGTGATTCTGTTCTTCTTCTGCTACCATCCACCGAGCTTCCGCCAACTCCATCTCGATCGCTCCACAAGGCGACAGTTGGCACGGCAAGACTTTGTAGGACTTTTCCTCTTCACCGGCGGCTTGATAATCTTCCTGATGGGACTGTCGTGGGGAGGGATCCTCTATCCCTGGAAATCGGCCCACGTCATTGCTTCGATCGTCGTGGGCTTCGTCGTCTTGGTCGTCTTTGTCGTCTACGACGCCAAATTCCACAAGGGGGATGCGCTCCTCCCCATGCGTCTGTTCAAGTATAGAGGCTATCTCGCCATGGTTCTGACCGCCATGGTCGGCAGCTGTGTCTACTATTCGATGACGGTCCTGTGGCCCCAGCAGATCAGCTACCTGTTTGGTGGCTCACCGACTCATCGAGGCTGGCTAGCCTGTGTGGTGGGCGCCTCGTTTTTCATCGGACAGATCATCGGAGGTCCCATGTGCAGATGGATCCCACAGTCTCGCTGGCTCATGGTCGGGGCCACCTTGGTCCTGTTGGCCTTCTCGGCGGCCATGATCACCGTCGGGCCCGGTCAAGAGTCAAAGGGCATTGGCATTTTGTTCATTGCCTGTCTGACGGTCGGAATCGTCGAGACCTGCGCCCTTGCTCTGGCGCCCTTGCCCCTCCCAACCGAAGACATTGGTGTCGCCCTGGGTGCTCTAGGGAGCATCCGGTCCAGCGGCGCCAGCGTCGCCACGGCCATCTACACGACAATCCTGAGCAACAAGCTCTCCGACTTTACCGGGCCCAGAGTGACCCAGGCCGCCCTCGCAGCCGGTCTCCCGCAGGATAGTCTATCCGCACTGCTAACCTCCCTTGCGTCCGGCGACCTGAGCGGCGTCCCAGGAATAAACCCGACCATAACCGCAGCTGTCGCGGCTGCGACCGCCTCTGCCGCCGCCGACGCATTCAAGTGAGTCCAGCCTCGTCCCTGTCCTCCCCACTTTTTCTCTCTGTGTCATCTCACACAGTTTACGACTTCTAACAAAAGCTTGATTGCAGATACGTTTGGTACGCCGTGGTGGCCTTTGCCTGTGTCGCGGTGATCGCGGCGTGCTTTACCGTCAACTACGGCGACTTCATGACCGACGAGGTGGCCCGCAAAATGCACGGTCGCATTGTCGGAGAGAAGGAAGAGGGTTTGCCTGAGAAAGACCAGGAGGCATGACTTGACTTTACTCGACTGGACCGGACTGGACTAGACTGGACTGAACCAGCCAGCCAGCCAGCCCTGAAAGGGAAAAAAAAAAAGGGTCTCCGAACGGTCTTGGATGAAATCTCGGGGATTACAGGACTAAGGGGGACTGAGTCTCTCGGGTGGCTAAATCTGATCTGATGTTAATCTTCATTTCCTCTTGGCATCTTACTCTTCAATCTCTCTCTGTGTACCACCCCAACGTGACGCAGAACCGTGCACACTCCCCCAGTTTCTTTTATGCCCTTTTGTACAAGGCTCTTTATATCCTCCAACCCATGGATACATTGGCCCCTCTCACCCTCTTAGAAAACTCAAGACGGGATATCGAACGGTGTGGTGGTGGTCGTCGTCACCGGAAGGAGACTATCGAAAGAAAAAGGACTGTACCCTGCCACGTTAGCACTAGTGACTTTTTCGTCCTTGTCCTAATATCGGGCTCGTCTGCAAAGTCTGGGACGCCGGCCCGGGATGGAGAGAACCCCCAGGGACTTTGTAGGTCGAGTAAGTCTATGATCAGTCACCTAGAGGGTGTCTGTAGGATGAGAGATATCAATTGATGTTTTATTTAGTGGTGAAAGCTGACCCTACTCGATGCAATAAAAGCTGCATGCAGCGTGGCCGGCCTCCCTCGCTTTCGCTGAGCCGACTGAACCGTGATTTATACGAGGTACACACTTGTCCTTGTAAGTCGGCCACACATAACATTCAGTGGGGGAGTGGCGGATTGAACTGTGGAGATTCAAATAATGGTGCCAAAGCACCTCGTGGATTCGGCTATGCGGGGGCTCTGCCTTGTATTGGTTTGCGAGCTGAACCACTTTGGGGTGCATGGCCCACGGCATCCTCACGCCGCGTTGTTCGGTGACAGGAAAGCAACTACCCCAGAAATGCACGGCAAGTACCAAAGGTACCAAACTTCAAGGTCTGAGAGAGGTTTCAGTTTAGATGGACCAGGAAATGCGACGACGAGTTCTCGTCAAAACCGCCACAGCCATCCCAACAGAGCTCATGGTGCAGACCCAATGAGAAAACACAACAGTATGGCTGTCCCAACGGCTGGGGTCGTGATTTTGATCCACGAGGTCTAGAAGGCGGGCAGGGTCCTGATTAATGATATCCCTACCGTTACAAGGCTTGGGCGTCTCCAGGCATAGAGCCTGGTCGAGTATTCTCTCGGGGTGACAACACTCTTTCTCAGCCTGGCCGCGAACTTGTAATTGGTAGAGACATGGACATGGCCGTTGCCAACCGCAATGATCAGGTTGATCCACGGAGAGCTTAGGTACACGCTCGCAAAGCCAATCTTCGGGGCCTGCCGCACGTTGGTGCAGGTCATTTGAGTCGGCAGGTTCTCCGCGAGTGTCGATTTGACCGACCCCGAAAAGCCTCGTCACCAACTTGCCAACCTTGCCAGCTCTTGTCTAAGCTCTTCACAGCGCTGTACGAGTGGTTCTTAGCTGGTAAGGCCAAGTCGAGGCAATAGCGAAGGCGGAATTTCAGCAACCCCCTTGACGGAATGATCGGAACTGGATGCGGGATCAGCAACTCCCAGGTCTGCCTGTTGTTTTTCCAGAGACGGGATACGGTGGAACATCGACTTCTCCGTCGAGCGTCATATCTCTCCAAAGACATCAAAGTAGTCAGAAGGGTTAAAGGACCTACCAAAGCGACCTGTTGAGAGAGTGAATGCAAAAAAGACCGGAGGGTTTAAGGGCCAATTTGTGTTACAGCCACGTGACCTTTTTCCTTGCTACAGTCACGTGACTGAAACGTCGATTCAGCCAATAAGAACCACGGTTTCTTTGCGCGGTATATACTACCTGGCTCTCCTGACAACGACGACGCACGCAGACGAGGTACCTTAGTCATACGAAATAGGGACGTCTAGTTTGTGCGGATCACTGCTCACGGGCCATGCATTCGGACTGCGAGGGGTGAGAACATTGAAATCTTTTTCGAAGGTTGATCTAGACCTCCATGGAGCATCATGTTTTCAAGAGTGTTGAGTTGATTCTGGGTTATATAGTTATATATACATCTGATACGATTAAAAGGTGGGAAGTAGGTGGGAAAAAAATGATCTCCAACCACACTTGTACTGTCTGTTGGTATACCAGTTGATGCTAGTGCTGTGACCAAGCACGATCCTCGATCCTCGATTCACGACCAAAGTAATCGGTCATGCGGCGGCTGATACCTCTTGGACAGCGCCGGCCACAGCGCCGCCCTGGCCATCGGTCTGGAGTTTCTTCTTCTTCTCCGCCTCGAACGGATCCAGTGGCACATTAACCTTCCAGTCGTTGGCAGGATCGTTCTCGCCAAACGCGTAGGGCCCGTCGTCATATGTGTTCGTGCGGCGCATGTCCCGCTTGTACTTGAACTTGTACTGGGAGTCGTCGAGAGCGCGGTGCCAGACGGCCGTGTTGTCCCACATGACCAAGTCTCCGTTTTGCTCCCATTTGACCTTGAAGACGTTGTCCGGCTGCGTGCCGTGGGCGATTAGTTCCTGCACCAGCTTCTGCGTCTCGGCGATGGTGTATCCATCGAAGCGGTAGGCGTAGCTCGTCACGTACAGATTCATGCGTCCGCTATCTTCGTGCGGATAGACGGCTTTCCAGCGCGAGACGGACCAGTCGTACGGATCGACGTCGCGGTACAGCTCAGGGGCGGCCAACCGCCGGTTGTGGATCAGCGAGCAGTCGGCCACTAAGTGGTCGATTTTGTCCTTCATCGCTGGGCTCAGTGTCTCGTAGGCAGTGCGTGAGTCGGCGAACTCGGTCTCGCCGCCACAGCCCGGCGGAGGAATTTCGACGGCGCGTAGGAACGAGTACTTGTCGCGATGAGGGTGGTATTGCATGTCGGCGTGCCAGAGCTCGTTGCCCTTGGACATCAGCGCCGCTACTCGGTTGGTCGTCTGCACGACCTCGCCCTTCTCGTCCAGGTTCGAGATGTCAAAGAGAGCCGGGAGGTGTGGGAACCGCCCGCGTCCGCGCCCGTGGACCAGCGGCATCGAGTCGAGGTTGCCGAAGCGTCGAGAGAATGCGATGTGCGCTTCGTTATCCAGATTCGCCTTGCGGAACACCAACACCCCGTACTTTGCAATACCTTTCTTGAGCTGCTCGATTGTCTCGTCGGGAACCGGCTTGCTCCAGTCCATGCCATGCACCTCGGCCACGAACCTCGGGTGCAGGGGCTCAAAGTGAAGTTGCTGCGCGGATGCAGACATCTTTGCTGAGTTGAAGCTGAACGTACCACAGGGTCTGGTTTGGAGATTGTTTAGTACCAAAGCAGGTCAGCAACAGGTGTTCGGCCAACTCTTGGTCTTATGTACCACACCGGAGGTAAATGCAACATCTCTCCTCAGGACTCATCACTCACGGCTCTCACGGCTCTCACAGCCACTATCCCAAGACATGTCTGCAGCGCAAATGCCCCGACTGTGGACGTGGTGCGATGTCCTCTCCCATCGCCTGACCCCAGGTCAAAAAGGGCCCTGTTTGGGAACAAGCCGGTGGGGTCATGGGCATCGAGGTAGGTATTCGGTTTCGCATGGCCTTGTATAAATTCCGACACACATGATCTACACTGTCTGTTTGGTGGCTTTGCTTGAATGGCCTGACACGAGGACTTTCTGCCAGAACCAAAAACTCTCGGTCCGTACAGTGCATACCAGCTGGAGCAGTGGAGCTCCAGATGGCTTGGACTTGATCAAGCGGTTTGTTTGCTGTGGCAATGCGCCTTGTGTTATTGAAGAATTCAAAAAACTGTCCTGGCCAGCGTTGTGATAGATATAAATTCCGGATCTGGGGCTTTTATTCCGCCTGGTCGCCCGCAATACCTCCGCATAGACCAATCAGGGTTGTTTCAGCTTGAAATGGACCTGCAGCTAGCCATGTCCCTGTCCTTGCCCCCTAGACGTTCTAGTCCCCGTGAGCCATGCCTATCTCAGAAACTTTGTAGCCTTGTCTCAAGAGCTTGGATGGCTGATGCCAGTCCTTGGATTTAGTGTGGGACAGGCAGCCCTATTCAAGCAGTGAGATGTCGGCAACGTATGGAAAACCGCCGCTAAACGACGGAGTAAGTGATGGAATCATCTCCCTCGTCCCATACCTCGGAAGTGGTTCCTTCAAAGCTTAGCCGGACACGAAAGGAGGACGTCGCCGAGTCCAGTCTGCAGACCTGAACAACGGAGCTGCGACGCCTTAAGAGAGAGAGGAGGCTTCGTTTGTGCATAGTCTAGATACGGAAGCTTACGAGAGGAAACGGACACCGAAGGTCGAGCTGATCTCGTCGGAGAATTGACCGAGACGAGATAGAGACTGGGTCCTCATAGAAAAGATACCTTGAATGCCACATCTCTAGCATGTGACTGTCATGCTGGCGGCGTCAGGAATGTGGGTGGTCATGAAGGACGTGGAGTCTCACGTGTGGACAATGACATTCACTTGACAACCCTGAGAGGCAGCAAGACCCCCATAGGCCATATCAGGCCGATTCCATCAATCCATCAAATTTGGGCGGCAGCCATATTCCTTCATCGGTGAAGTCGTCAATATAATCTTTTTTCCAAATATGGCCAGCTGCATTGGCTGGGAGCCCCAGATAACAACCATGTACCGAGGACGGTGAGCTCGACGCTTCTACGGCGGAAATATCTCGAGGATTTCCCCTTCCGCGTAGTAGGATCAGCTGAGTCTAGAGTCGACGGATGACAACCATTTCTCAACGGCCCCATATGGGGAATCCTTTTCGACCATATAGCTGGCAATTGTCCTGGGACCTTGCAACAAGTGGACGACAAGCCAGTCAGCCTTTGTTTATATTCTTGGCCTACTTTCACGCCCTGGAGCCGAGTTGGAATTGTATCAAAATACACTGCAGAGACCAGTTGAGGACTATTGATGGTTCGGAACTGACCACCGAAGGGAGTGAAGTCGAGACGGCAGCTCAAGAATGTATTCCGCTACTAG